GCTCTAACCCAGATCCACTGTATCAAATTATTTGCTGAATTTGATCTTGGGCATTTTCTTAAGTTCCATGTGATGCAAGGGTAGTCAGCTACTGGATTTAGCCAAAAAAGCAACCAATAAAACAATGTATCATAATCTACTGAAACCACAACACAAATCAATTTGTATGTTGGAGACCTAAGAACCCATATTTTTAAAAAGCTCCCCAACTATTTATGCATTGTTTGAAAAACACTACCACAGAAGAGACAATAGACCCTTACTTAGCTTCTTGGTCACATCTCCTTAATGCTTCTGGCCTCACTACTTAATAATCCCTGGAGCTTTAATGGGACAGCCACTGACAGAAACAAACATAACTGGGTGAGATTACTGCCTTAGTATATAACACACATATCTTTTTGGGTTTATTATGTATATGTGTTGAAATAAACAGGGCTATTCCCACCTATTCAAATAGGAATAAAAACTCTGCAATATCAATTGGTATGTATTTGAAAAAAATATGAAGGTCTACTCTTCTTTTCACTGAAAACCAAACTAACATTTATCACACCAGAAAAAGACACTTGTAACAAATAGCACACAATCTAAACACAGCCCCAACTTTACTGAACAAAGTATTTTATAATTAATATAGCTAGAATAACATTTAGGTATTTTTATGACATTACCATTTTCCCAAGAAAAGTTTACTCTAGAAATAGCATTGTGTTAAAAAATCTAATTAAAGTCTCCCCCTTCCCTAGCTTGGTAGTTCAGTTGGTTGGAGCATCATCCAGATGCACTCAAGGTTGTGGGTTCAATCAATCCCCAGTCAGGGCACATACAAGAATGAACAAATGAATGCACGGTTAAGTGTAACAATAAACTGATGTTTCTCTCTCTCCCCCTCCCAAAAAATCAATTAAAAACAAAAATCTCCCCTTTACTCCAACCCATACTGCATCTACAAATAAAAGCTGGGACACTGTAGTACTTCAATGTTTAGACCACTTCGATCAACAGTAAGTGGAGCAAACTAACATGAATACACAATCATGAGACAATCTCGTAAATTCTGTTATCAGAATAAACACCCAATAAATTTCATAAATTTTAAAAAAACAGAATAACCTCTTGTGATGTGCCCAAAAGCTATAAAACTATGGTTAAGTAGAAAATTTCAACCTAGTAAAATAAATACTACCAGGAAAATGGTTCAAATACACTTTAGACTCTAGTAAATACAAACCTCAATGTAATGAAGGCACAGCATAAAAATAGGCTATTTTTGACTACCACTGCTATGTTAGTCAAAAATACATTATGCTACAGGAGTGAAAAACAACATGTAATTAACTTACATGTTATTTAAATAGCTAATAATAATTTAAATTATTAATTTATAATTACTAGAGCTATTGTCAAAAAGCTTGATAGTCTTTAAGGAGAAATAAGGTATAAAGTAAAAACGACAACTTCTAAGTGAGGAAGAGATGACATATACTTGAAACTTTTAAAAAATATATTCACATGCATGTCATAATATTATGATAAAGTTCCAGGCTAACAAAGAAAGCATGACCACACATGTGTGCTTTCCCTTGTCTTTTGTCACATTTTTTAAGAAGTACTATTCAAATACACAAAATATGAAAATCAGTATTTATTTTATACTTCAAAGCCCATACTATTAGTTGTACTGGAACATTTCTAACAGAAATATTAGAAACAAATGAGAGGTGGTGTATTAAAACAAACCAAGTAAATCTACTTTACTTTCATTATGTGGAGAGCTGAGCACTTACCATTTGATTCCTCCCTTTAAACTGAACAGTAGAAAAAAGAAAGCATATAAAAGGGCCTAATTTCAAAGCTTTTAAGATAAAAATAGACATTAAAAATCTTTAGTAATCCTTTCCAAAGCCAGTTTTCAAAGTAAATATAAAATAACTAAAACTGCCTCAATGTTGTCTCCATTAATATAAAAATATTCAAGTCCTATAAAGAACTTTTCTTAATGTTTGTTTACTAATTCATTAGTGTAAATTAACAAGTATCATGAAGCTAGAAACCACGTAAAATTGACAGGAAAATGATGAAAAACTTACAACCACTCATAATTTCTAATCTCAAAAAGATCTAAAAACAGAACAAGAACTATTCCCCTCCCAAGATTTAATTTCATTTTACACACTATTTTAAATATGGCTCTCCTTCCAAAAATTAAGAACGCAGTAACTCTGTAGCCTTACATGAGTATTAATTTACTTTTAAAAAGTCACCAACACTCCAGCCCAGGCTTCAGCAAACTTTTTCTGTAAAGGGCCAAATGATAAGTATTTTAGGTTTTATGGGTCACAAATATCTCTAATATTTCCTTTTTCCCATCATCCATTAATCCTTTAAAAATATAATACCATTCTTATCTCTGTAGCAGGGTGGATCAATAATCTATTTTTTAAATGCCAATAAATCCAACATGAGTATTTAAATATCAAATTTATTTAATTGCAAAATTCACTCAGTATTTGTAAATGTTTGCCCACCATTAAAATGCATTTTAAACAAACATACAAGTATTTTTAAATTAAAATAATATACAGTATGTCGACTTTAAATTGCAGCAACATTTCTAAATCAGTTTTTAATAGAAAAGTAAAAAAATTAAAACTATCCGTTCATTAATTATACTCATATTAAATGCCATTGAGCATATTATTACACTGGTATATGTTCTGAAAAACTGAAATGACTTCAAAGGACAGTCTGCAAACAAATTTGTGGTAAGTCAACTTAACCAAGTTGAACAATAAGATACATTTTAATCATGTCCTTCTAGACCCCTGAAACACTTATGTATGTGACATTATTGCAAACAGTTACACATATGCTCCAAGAATGTAAAGTTTATGACAGAAAAGTGTTAAGTTAATTCTACCCATTTTACTCTAAGCAAAGCATTTTAGTAAAAGACATGTTCACATACATAAAGACTCAGACAGACTGCCTAATCCTTAATAGAACAAAATTAAGTTTCTGTAAGAAATAGAACACATGTAGTTTATATATACATTGACTATATAAAAATACTAGCAACTAGTTTTCAAAATATGAGCCTGAAAATTTTCTTTCTTTCTTTTATAACATCAGAAAATTTCCTCACACTCATAAATCTAACAGATTTATATTCAAATATAACAGCCAAAAAACCTAAAACCATGGTTTCAAATGTCACTGAGAAAGTCCTACGCACTCAAGGAGAAAAAGAAAATTCAGAATGTTAGAAATTACTGAAAAGACTTTAACAATGCTTTAAAAACCTACTCAACTAATTTGGTGATGAATTTAAAAATCAACTAAATCAAATCTTTCATATGACTTATAAATAAAAACTTCTGTAATTGAATTAAATGCTATAATTTTCATTCAATGGATATTTACTTGATAGGAAGATAATTTCTTGTTGCTATGCACATACGAACTTATTTTACTGTGAAGAACAGTGTGGGAAATGGAGAAATCAAAGAACTTACATGTATGACCATGGACATAAACTAATGTGGGGGAATGCTAGTGGGAGGAGGGGTTGCAGGGCAGAGGGGAATAAAGGGGAGAGAAAAAAGGGACAACTATAATAGCATAATCAATAAAATATATTTTAAAAAAGAACTTATTTTCCCGGGTATGCATTCTTTCAAATAAGAAAGTTTATGTTCTAGGGAAAGAGGAACAGAAACAAAAGGACACCAATGACCTGAATACTTTTAGCTTCACAAACTTACAAAATAATTATGGTTTTTAAACATCTACAGAAAAAATTACTAGTAAATATTTTTTAGAATGAGTTAAAAACTGGCATTCACCTAAGGTAAACAATGACTTATGTTGGCTACCATTAAGAACTTGCAAATTTTAACATTTGAAGAATTCTTGTTTGCCCTACCATTTTGCCTCCCCAAAACAAAAACTCAAGTGAGATCGAGTCTTTGGAACTAATTTTAGTTTACAAGAAATTCAGGAATGGAGATACTTAACAACTGCAAGAATACAATCAACAAATTTCAAAATGTAAGACACTGTGTGCAATGAGACTTAATGTTTATTTTTTAAAAAAGGAAAAAATTTAAAAGAAGAGGAAAGCCTATGAACTAAAAAGACAGGATCAAACAATTTGAAGAAAAGAACTGTTTAAAAAAAAAGCCCCAGTGTACTGGCTCAGTGGATTGAGTACCACCTGTGAGCAGAAAGGTCACTGGTTCGACTCCTAGTCAGGACATGTGGCCAGACTGCCCACCAGGTCCCCAGTTGTGAGCATGGGAGAGGCAAACGATCAACGTTTCTCTCCCTCTTTATCTCCCTCCCTGACCCTCTCTCTAAAAATAAATTAATTCTTTTTAAAATATAAAAATAAAAAAAGCCATTTAAGACATAAGAAAATTTGGGCTTTTATTGAAATTAAAGAATTGATAATTTTAAGATATAAAGATATTTCTAATAAAAATCCTTATCATTTAGGAACATATATTAAAACATTGATGAATAAAGTCATATGAAGGGATTTCATACAAAATAGTTCAGAAAAGTAGGTACACTAGAAGATTAAACAGATCACCCATGTGTTGATAACCATTATGGTTGGGTGATTAACACATAACACTAATCTACTTTTATAATGTCTAAAATCTTCCAAAATAAAGAATTTTTAATCTCAGTAAATGGTAAAAATCAGTCAAATGGAGATGAATTTATAAGATTTCTATTTTAGTACCATATATTTCTCAAAAAGAAAATAAAATTGAAAAAAATTTAACATCCATTACATAAAACATGAGAATTACTTTCAGAAACTAAGTCTAATTTACTACCTGAAAGAGGTTTAAAAAAATTAGTTTAACATAAAAAAATTCAGAAAGATTAAAAAATACACTAATATATAAAGTAATATCTAAAGAATTCTAAACATACAATGTCGACCTAACAAAAAATATTTTTCGTTAAACTGGTATTTTACTTACATTTTCCATATAATTTGGCTTAAAGCCTTCTTGCTGTCGCCTCAGTTCCTCCTGTTCTCTGTGTCGTATCATTTCTTCCTCACGACGACGATGCTCTTCTTCATGTCTAAAAGGTATTTAAATAAAATTTTAGCATGATAGCTTAGCAGAAAGCCATAATCAGGCATTTTATTTTTTTAGGTTAAGCAAAGTAATTTATGTAAGTTACATTATGTTAAATCTGTCAATAATGACTGGCTTAGTATTTACCTTCCTATTTTGCTCTAAAACTTTAATAAATCTAATAAACAAAAGAAATAAAGTAGCTTAACTAGGATAAATCAGGGTACTGATAAATCAGGGTACATATAACCAGGGTACTTACATGCTTAAGAGTAATAAAATTCAGAGTCCAAAAGCTCAAACGTGTACTCTGTTGCTACTTAAAGAGAAAAGCCTGGGATCCGTCACTGGTATAGCAGAATACAAAGACACTCAGAATCTATCCCTATGTAAGCCAGTGCAAAAAACTGTAATGCCTACACAAAAACTCTATTATGTGTAGAAGGAGGTCTTAACGAAGCCTCTTACTCCCATCTCAACCCAATGAAGCAAGGGTCAGCCTATACCCTATTTGTGTAGTTTTTACAGAACTATAAAATTTTACATTTTATACACTAAATGTAAAATTTAGTTTTTACAGAACAAGTGTTTACTTACTGCTGTGACCACTTGTGGTCTAGAGCAGTATTGATTAAGTTGAGATAAACCATATGACCTGCAAAGCCTAAAATAGTATTTACTATCTAGCCTTTCCCCAAAAATGTTTGTCCACCTCTGTCCTAAAGGTATACTCATGCATTAAGGAAAAAAATAAAACTATATTTGAAGGATTACTATTAAATTAGTAGTTATTATGATTAAGAAGGAAAATCTACAAAATAATATTGAAGTAACTGACATAATAGTGGTATTAAAATCAAATTCACATATACATGCCCTCCACACTAAAGCAAAAGAGTAATATAAATAGTAAAGACTACATAATGCTGATACCCCTTAGTAAGTCTCATTTTCCAGGTTACTCTTATATGCACTTTTCTACACTAAGCATTAATATTTGAAATTCAAGAAACTTTGTTCTTCTTTGTTGTACAATACTCCCCCACAATACAAGTCGCTGAACTAAAAGACATGGTGATCTTCCACAGACAGCAGAACTAAAAGGCTTGTTAGGACTTCATGTCAGACCACATGCAAGTAACAAGACAATGTTCCTAAGAAATTTCAAGCAAAATCTGAACTATTTTGAGAAGTCTAAGTTCTCAACATAAAACTCTACTCAAGTAAATTGGTTAACCCACTTCTTCAACATTAACACACATAAACTTTACTGTTAAGAAAATACTTTCAGACAAATACCATATGATTTCACAACAAAATAAACAGAAACATTCATAAAATAGAGAACAACAGATGGAGCAAAGGGGATTTGGGGGGCTAGATGAAAAAGATGAAGAGATTAAAAAATACAAATTGGTACTTACACAAGAGTCACAGGGATAAAAAGTACATCATAAGGAATATAGTCAATAATACTGTAATAACTATGTGTGGTGCCAGGTGGGTAAAATATCAGGGACCACTGTGTGATGTATATGACTGTCTAACCACTGTATTACAACTGAAACTAATATAAAATAGTGTTGAATTTAAACTACCACTAAAAAATAAAAATTTTAAATAAGAAAATAGTTTCAGCCCTGGTCAGGTATCTCAGCTAGTTAAAGCATTGGCCCCACAGGCCAAGGTTGAGGGTTCGATCCCTGGTGGAAGCACACGCAAGAATCAACCAATGAATGCACAAATAAGTGGAACAACAAATTGATATTTCTGTATTTTTCTCCTTTCCTTACCTCTCACACTCTAAAATTAATAAACAAAATGTTTTAAAATAGTTTTATATTCATACACTGCTGACAAAACACAGAACAGGTAAAAATTCCCTTATTGAAAACACCTTAAGGCCACATGTGTTTTCAAATGGAGTGCTTATTTAAAAACAAGCCAATATACTATTATTATATCTCCAGTGAGATACCAGACAAAACCCAATAATCAACCACATTAATTATTTCTGCAGTAAAATGAATACTCACATTGGGTGAACATAGTTGAGGAAGAAAAGGGGCCACACACTAAACCAGTCAAGCTCAGGGGAGCCCTGCTGCTTGTCAGCCTTACAAACTCAGAGAGCTAAATTAACCACAAAGGATGATATGAAAAAAATGTATTAAGTAAAAACAGTTCACGGCAGGTAGTCATGTCCTAGGCCAGTATTTTCCCTAACAAAGGTCAACTTTTACTGTAACTGAGCTGGTCTGTTGTCTTTTTGCATCTACAACAATATACCTGTGTAATGTCAAATTTCCTCCCTCTCACACCCTTCAAAACACAGGTAAGACACCAGTGGGAGAAAACAAATCCCGTTATTATTAACTGTTAACTATCCTATACTCACCTGAGCAACACTGTGTGTCTATCGTTTTATCTTTTATTCAATCACAGGTTTTTCCACTTTGTCGTCTCCTGCCTCCTTATCTATCTCCAAAGGATTTTATGAAACCCCATTATATCTTCTCCTTTGATTTTGATGTACACAGCAAGCTGTTAAATTGCTATTCTCTGGAGATTTTCTAGGTTGGTTGAGATTTTTTGTTTTCCAACAATTGTCATCAGCTTGGCTTAAATAAAGTTGTAAAATTCTTACAGTTGGGACTTTTCTTACACTGGCATAGTAAAGGTTTGACATGACCACAACATAAGGGCAGGGCAGTCTTTTTATCAAATAGACTCATATCTGATCATACCATATAATGGCACATGAGAAGGCTTTTGGTTTTTAAAGCTTTTTGGTCTTCAGAATTGCAACAATGACTTTGCTGAAGGCCAACTTATAATACACAAGATAATTTTAAATGTGCAAGTCCACTTACAGTAAACTAGACAGAAATATCTGCACACCTATGCAAAGGTGTCTATGCACAGATATACACTGTGGAAAAGGTTGAAGTCACAACTGAGTATACATGGTATACAATTATGGTCTCCTGATGCAAAGGAACAGAATAAAACTGTTACAAAGGGGTAATTTGCATATACAGACATAAAAGAATGTGGTACAGCGGTCAGAAAAAAAAAGGCAAGTACAAGAATGGTACTCCGCCCTGGCTGGTGTAGCTCAGTGGATTGAGCGCGGGCCTGCGAACCACACGATCGCGGTTCGATTCCCAGTCAGGGCACATGCCTGGGTTGCAGGCCGGTTCCCTGCAGGCCAGTTCCCAGCAGGGGACGCACAAAAGGCAACCATACATTGATGTTTCTCTCCCTCTCTCCTTCCCCCACTTCCCCTCTAAAGATAAATAAATAATAAAATATTTAAAAAAAAAAAAAAAAAAAAAAAGGATGGTACTCCTATAGCTGCTTTTAAAAATCATTTGTATGACCCTGGCTGGTGTAATTCAGTAGATTCAATGCAGGCTGTGAACCAAACAGTTGCTGGTTCGATTCCCAGGCAGGGCACATGACTGGGTTGTGAGCTGGGTGCTCAGCAGGGGACACATAAGAGGCAGCCACATACTGATGATTCTCTCCCTCTTTTCCTCCTTCCCTTCCCCTTTCTCTAAAAATAAATAAATAAAAATATTTCAAACAAAATAATTTGTATGTCTCTGTCCCAAGGTGGTTCTGTTGTGTGGAACCATCATTCCGAAAACCAAAGGGTTGCACGTTTGATTCCCTGTCAGAGCACATGCCTAGGTTGAGGATGTGGTCCCTGGTTGGGGCATGTGCCAGAGGCAACTCACCCAAGTATCTCTCCAACATTGTTGTTTCTCTCTCTCTCTTTCTCCCTCCCTTCCCCTCTCTTTAAAATCAAAAAGCATATCCTCTGCTGAGGATAAAAATTAAAAATAAATATGATTTGTATGAACACAGAAGAGACTATGAAAATTTTATGCCACAGTGGAAATATCTAGGGAACAGGAACATTGCCCTTTTTATTTTTACACACAAATGTAGCATGTGAATTATGTAACATGTAACATTTTGAAACAAAAACCACATAAAGTATTTTTTTAGTCCTCATCCAAGGATATGTTTACTGACTTTTAGACAGAGGAAAGGAGAGAGATGAAGGGAAGAGGGAAGCAGAAAGAGAGAGAAACAATGATTGATTTCCTCTTTTATGTACCCCAACCAAGATCAAACCCATAATCTAGGTTATGTGCCCTGATCAGGAATCTAACTGCAATCTTTTGGTGCAGCGCTGATGCTCCAACCAACTGACCAACCTGACCAGGCCAGATAAAGTATTTTGAACAAAATTTAAAATGTACTTCTCCCACTGCTAAAGCAACTTTTTCTGATAACATTAAGAACAGATTTATAAATCAGAAGAAAAATAAAGTAAAAAGGCAAATTCACTTTAAACATTTTCTGTTTTTCCTTTCTTTCTTTTCTCCGTAAATTCCAGTTTCTTTTTTACTTTGAACTAAGCTGTATTATATAACACTGACAAGTCAATAATCTAAATTCAAGGACTGAACACAGGAACATTCCCTTATTGTACATGTTTGCTTTGCATTTTGTCTTTTCTCCCTTTTTTCTTTTTTTTAGATTTTATTTATCTTTAGAGAGAGGGGAAGGGGGAGAGGGGGGGGGAGAGAGAGAAAGAGAGAGAGAGAGAGAGACCGAGACCGAAAGAAAAGTATCAATATGTGGTTGCCTCTTGTGTTCCCTGCACCAGGGAACCTGGTCTGAAACTCAGACATGTGCCCTGAATGAGAATTGAACTAGCAACCCTCTGCTTCACAGTCGGTTGCTCAATCCACTGAGCCACACCAGCCAGGGCTGCTTTGCATTTCTTCTAATCCACTAATGCTTTAATGGTCATCTATGGCCATAAATGGAAATAATAAGACATTGTGATAAACATCAACATCCTTCCTGTTATACATAATTGAAACTGATAAAAACCTAAATCTCAAGATTTAACTTGAAGACAACTAATTGTTTACAGGTCTTACACATTTTTGTAGGACTCTGAAAAATGAGAGGCTCTAGGCA